GTATATCTGTATGTATAAAACTAAAGGGACAAAATCAATAATCTCAGCTTCTATTTATGAAACCACAGAAAGAGGAGTGATTTAAGTCAAAGGATTTAAAACTTGAAGAAAATAAATAATAAATAGGAGAGCAAAAATCCATAAAATTGAAAACAGAAAAACAATAGTAAACACCAAGCAAACCAAAATCTGGTTCTTTGGAATGAACTATGGTTGCAAGTGTTTGGAGAATTTTAGATGATCCTTTCAGGATTGATCTCTAGTTTGATTCCTCTGTGGTCAGAGAACACACTTATTAGGATTTTAATTGTTTTAAATGTGTTGAGGTGTTTTATGGACAGCATATAGCCTATCTTGGTACATGTTCTGTGGACACTTGAAAAATATTTGAATTCTGCTACTGTTGTTTGGAGTGTTCTAAAAACACTCGATAGGATCTAAATGTCAGTTAGATCCTGTGGGTTGGTGATGCTGTTGAGTGCTTCTTTATCCTTGCCAATTTCTGTCTAGATTATTGAGAAGGGAAATCAAAGTCTCCAAGTCTAATTGTTTTGTTAGTTTTCACCACGTGCACTATTTTGCTGTGCTATTTGGTGCATACATATTAAGAATTGCTCTGTCTTCTTTTAGAAATGACTCTTTTATCCATTATATAATATGGCTTCTGTTCTTGGTAACTTTCCTTTACTCTATAGTATACTTTATCTGATATTATTGTTAGCCACTCCTGATCTTCTTTTATTAATATCAGTATGGTATATATATATATATAGATCTTTTAGTATGGCATATATATATATATATTATATATATATACATCTTTTCTTTTTATAGTCAACCTACTTATAGTGTTATATTTGATACACATGTCTTACACATAACATATTGTGTTGTATTTGATATTCCTGTCTTACAGATAACATACAGTTGGGATTATTCTTACAGATTGACCAATGTCTGTCTCTTTTCAAATTTCAAAATATGCGTAATGTTATTATTAATATGTTAAGATGGAAGTCTGAACTCTGGGGTTGGTTTCGTGAATTTGAGGCCTTCTTGATTTTTCCCACATTCATGAAAAATAGTTTTACTAGACATAAAATTCTATCCTGGCAGAGCTTTTCTTTCAGTAATTGAAAAGTGTCATTTGCTTCTGGCCTTCACAGTTTCTGAGGAGAAATATTCTGTCATTGGTTTTCCTCTAAAGATAAGCAGTAACTTTTCTCTCTGCTATTAAGATTATTCTTTTTGTTTACTTTTTAGAGCTTTGAATGTGATGTGTCTTAGCACAGATTTTTTCGTATTTATCCTGTGTTTATCCACTTTTTTTTTAGCCTATTTTTGAACTGTTGTTTAGATTGGGTATTTCACTTTCTATTTCACAGATTCTTTCTTCTGACTGCTTAATTCTGTTATTAGGACATCTACTGAGCCTGTTGATTATGGTGATTATATCTTTCAGTTCTAAATGTTTCATTTTTTGGTTATATTTTGTATTTTCTTCTTGATGCTTTCTATTATTTCATTTGGTTCAAGCATGTTTACAATTGTTTACTGATGCATTTTTATGATAACAGCTTTAAAATCATTTCAAGATCATTTTTACATATCTATTATGCAGAGGTTAACATTTTTACATATCTGTTATGTAGAGGTTATCATTTTTATGTATCTATTATGTAGAGGTTATCATTTTTACATATAGATTACATAACAGTTAGTATCTACTTATTGACTTTTCTCATTCAACTTAAATTTTCCTGGATTTGGTATGAAGTGTGCTTCTTGACTGATATCTGGACATTTTGGATGTTATGTTATGATATTTTGAATATCTAACAAGTTCTCAGTTCGTGTCACTGCTGTGGCTGCTGGATTGGAAAGATGCAGAGATTCAATCAGATAAATGATTTGCTATTCTGCTTGTATTACAAATACCTAGGGTGATTTTTATAGATGTAGCTACCTGAATGGTAGTCAATATTTTTAATCAATTAGGCTAGGGTAGTGCAGGCAAGAATAATTTAAAAATATTTCCATTTGATTTTGATATGGGGTTAGGGTTACCTTGAAAAAGATAATTGGTAGTTTCCAAATGTGAAACTGAAAATGAGTATGTATGACAAATGCTGCTCAGTGAAGTATATTATAGGACACAAAACTGAAAATTTTAGCATTCATTAGTTGAGGCCTGGAGTCTCCTTTTTATAAGAACTCCTTCTGGAAGAGCTGGAGCCATAGTTCAGGCATGCATTAGTACTGGGCTTACTTAAAAATATTTTCCCTTTCCTAACTCCTTGTAATTGTTTCCAGTTTTACCTTATATTAATGTGAGGACAGTCACCATCTGATTATGACATGTGCTCTTCACTGTCCCTCAGTTCAGACATATTCCCAGACATTCTCCTATTACCAAATAAGTAACAGAAAACGATCACTTCATATTAACTTTATTATTTAACTTTACTGAAATAGGTAATTATTTGGTTGCCTTCTTGTCTTCTGCAGTGAGAAACCCTGCATTTCCATAGCTTTAGGTTTAGCTTTAGGATCTCCTATAGTATTTCCAAGTAGAAGCATCTATTACTGAGCATCAGGCCCTGTAGTGAGCAGGGTCTAAAACTGCATGACTTGAATCATGTATCCCCCAGCTGAGTTCCTGGGAATGGTGATTAGAAAAGCTACTCCTTTTGCCTCTTTTCTTCCTGAATCATTCATTAACACTATCATGGTCATCTGTTTAAAGACTCATCATCACTTGAAGGAGAGGATTTAAAGTTTGCAGAATGTTATACCCAAGTGGACTTCTTTAGATACTATATTTGGTAGGACCAATGGATGCCATAATCATGTGCCTATACTTTCAATTTCCCTCAACCATGTAGGACCCTGGTTCTCAAAAATTCCCATATCAGTAAAATGTACACTCTGTGAACACTGGGATAGCTAATTATCTGTGGGCTGGAAAAGCAAACATATACTTAGAATGCAGAAGAATCCTAGTGAAGATGCATCTGCTTTCAGGGAAAAGAAATCCAATTTCCCTAATTGCCATCCACTTATTGATGTTATTTGTCTCTGCTGCTGAGAAGTCAGATACCGAGAAGTGCAATAGTTGGCTCAACACGGGTGGAGATGGTTATGGTGAGACATGATGCATATCACTGTGGAAGTGCATAGCTCTCAACCAGGCCACCATGGCTACTTTGTTTAAGAATGTGTTATACAAATACTGTTAAAGTTAAGAGAGAAGATGGAGTACAATTCATCGGCTTAGAGATGGATGAGTATGGATGGCTTTCAGTAAGGATGGTTGTGGCAGATATTCGCTGTTGTGCTAATATAATTCTCCCTCACAGGAGTGCAATCCCATGCCTCTTCTCTAGAGCTTCTTATCTCCGAAACTACAACCTTCCTTTCCAAGACTTTGGTCAACCAGCTATTTGGAAATCCATATGTATACCTGACTCCGGACACTTCTCTATCTATACTAATTTGATGAACATATGCTCTGCTCAGATATAAGATAACTCAAGGTAATATTTCACAGCCACCCATGATCATTGCCATAGGGTGGGCACAGTTCACATTTACTTGCACAAATATATGATGCAAAGCCATTCAAGAGAAAACCCAGCTTCTTCTCGTTGTTTTGGTTTTCTTTGTTTTTGTTTGTTTTCTTTTTCTTTTTTGTATTCTCTCTCTGACATTAGCGGATCAGGAAAACCCATGATATCAGTGAGCTGATGCAGAGGTGTTAGGGTGAGAGAGAAAAGTGATAAAGGGAACTGGAACATCTGTCTATGGAAATGAGGCATGCCTTCTGAATCTGCTTGAACCCAGTCCCTAAAGTACCATCTGCATCCTAATATTGAATCGTGCTGCGCCTCACCTGACTTTAAAATTGGTGAGAGTGACATTCACAGTTCATGAGAGGCAGCTTAGTCACTTAATTATTTAGTCAAACAGTCAAGTACTCATGGGCATGTCTACAAGGACCCTGTGATATTTTGAGAGTTGAATTTTGAGCAGTGAATTGTTTGTGTGTTGTTTGATTATTTGGGGGGCGTTTCAGGATCTTACTCAAGAACTGTAGAGATTTTTTTCTGTGACTCTCCTTTGGGGCTTACACGAAAGTTCACAGTGTCCTCATCTAATACAGATCATCTAGCACCAGACAGTGTGCTGGACCACATGGCTCAAGTGACAGAGGCATTTGGATTAACACTTAAACTTACTACAGAATCTTTTCTTTCTCAGAGTTCATTCAAAAATGACAGCCTTCCAAGTTAGCTGATAAATGGGATGATGTAGTAAACCCAAGTGTGAAGTGTGTTGTGTCAACAGTCTAGGATGGCCTAGCCAGCACTGTGCTTCAGTCCTAGTGGTTTGAAGTACAAGGTGCAATTATTTTTTCTTACTTTGAAGGGGATGAGCCAGCATGGCTCATACCCCTTTTATAAACACTTGATATCTTCACTAATGTGACAAGCCCTTGATTTTGGGGGGGCTTGCATCCCACTCTCTAGAGCACATGTGTTTTCACAAGAAATTCAGAGTCCTTACAATGTCCAGCTCATCACATCTAATTACCATGATGTCATCAATATAGCATTACATGGGGTAATGCTTTGTGGAATATTCACAAAGCTTTTTCATCCTACAATGTGACAGAGAGCAGGAGAGTTAACATAGCCCTGGGCCGAAATTGAGGATGTGAGCTTCTGTTCACCCCAGATGACTGCAGACCTCTCAGATCTCCGTGGACTCTGCCTTCACTCTGCAGCTGGGCCCTGGGTCTGGTCAAGCCCTGCCAGAGCCTCAGCAGAGCTTATCCGCAGGCGCCAGCAGAGGGCGCTTCACACACGCATGGAAGGAGCAGGGAGGGCGCTCTTCTGTCAACAGTGATTTCGGTGTATTTAAACCAACAGAACATCCCCATAATTTGCATGTATCTTCCCTCTTATATGTGAAGAGGCCCTGCCTCTCAGTGTCTTAAAAGAGACTCTCTGGAATGTGGTATGAGCAAAACTGACAAGTCAAGGCAGGAAGATGTTGCCATCACAACTCATTGGGTTTCTGCTGCTCTGGGTTCCAGGTGAGAATATGTCTACAAACTAGGTGGGGATATTATTTTAATTTGCAATTTCTTTCACTGGGAACCCTGCTATGTGTGAATTTTGGCTTGATTTTAAAGTCCTAATTTTTAAAATGTAAGGCATATTCTTTCTTCAAGTCTAGCAAGATTAGAGGTGATTTTCATACACAAATATTTATGTTGTACTGATGTTTGCTGTATATTTTCAGCCTCCAGGAGTGAAATTGTGCTGACTCAGTCTCCAGCCTTTCTGTCTGTGGCTCCAAGGGAGAAAGTCACCATCACCTGCCGGGCCAGTCAGGGCATTAGTAATAACTTACACTGGTACCAGCAGAAACCAGACCAGGCTCCAAAGCTCCTCATCAAGTATGCTTCCCAGTCCATCTCAGGGGTCCCCTCAAGGTTCAGTGGCAGTGGATCTGGGACAGATTTCACTCTCACCATCAGCAGCCTGGAAGCTGAAGATGCTGCAACGTATTACTGCCAGCAGAGTAATAGTTGGCCTCACACTGTGTTACAACCCAGAACAAAAACTAGCTCAGCCTGGCTGATCAAAGAAACAGGACAAAACCCTGTAACACTTCTGATGGTTGCAGGTGCTTCTGGGGCAATGAGTTAACCAACACAATGAAGTGTGGCTTGCCCAGCAAAGCTGAAACCAGAGTCACTGCTGCATACTTTCATCTTTTTAAAAAAATATTTTGTGTATTTCAGTAGTTTTGGAAGTATAGGTGATTTTAAGCTACATGGATAAGTTATTTAATGGTGATTTCTGAGATTTTGGTGCACCTGTTACTCGAGCAGTGTATGCTATGCCCAATATGTTCTTTTATCCCTCATCTCCCCTTCTATCCTTCCTCCTTAGTCCCCAAAGTCTATTATATCATTCTCATGCCTTTGCATCCTCATAGCTTAGCTTCCACTTATAAATGAGAACATATGATTGTTGGTTTTTATTCCTGAGTTACTTCACTTAGAATAATGGCCTCCAGCTTCATCCATGTTGCTACAAAGGTCATCATTTTGTTCTGTATTATGGCTAAGTAGTATTCCGTGATATATAGACACCACATTTTCTTTATCCATTCGTTACTTGATTGGCACTTATGGTGGTTCCATATTTTTACAATCGAGAATTGTGCTGGAATAAACATGCATGCGCATATGCCTTTTTCATATCATAACTTTTTTCTCAGGGTAGATAAGAAAAATAAGAGTGGGATTGCTGGACCGAATGGTATTTCTACTTTTAGTTCTTTAATGAAACTCTACACTGTTTTCCATAGTGGTTGTACTATGTACACCACATCCATGCCAATATCCATTATTTTTTGACTTTTAAATGATGGGCATTCTTGCATGATTAAGGTGGTATTTCAAGGCTATACTTACCAAAACAGCATGATATTGTTATAAAAATAGGCACATAAACCAATGGAACAGAATAGAGAACACAGAAACGAGCCCAAATACTTACACCCAACTGATCTTCAACAAAGCAAACAATAATGTACAGTGGGAAAAGGACATCCTATTCAATAAACGGTACTGGAAAAACTGGAAGCCACGTGTAGAAGAATAAATCTGGATCCTCTTATCTCACCTTATACAAAAGTGAACTCAAGATGATTCAAGGGCTTAAATTTAAGATCTCAAACCATAAAAATTTTAGAAGATAACATTGGGAAAACTCTTCTAGACATTGGCTTAGTCAAGGAATTCATGACTAACACCACAAAAGCAAATGCAACAAAAACAAAAAATAAAGAAATGGAACCCAACTAAACTAAAAAACTTCCGTACAGCAAAAGAAATAATCAGCAAACAACCCACAGAGTGCGAGAAACTCTTCACAAGCTATGCATCTGACCAAGGACTAATATCCAGAATCTACAAGGAACTCAAATCAGTAATATAAAAACAAATAATACCACCAAAAAGTGGACAAAGAATATAAATAGACAATTATCAAAAAAAGACATATAAACAGCCAACAAATACATAGAAAAATGCCCCACATCACTAATTGTCAGAAAAATGCAAATTAAAACCACAATGGCATACTTTCATCTTTAGCCATATGTACTTTCAACGTACGTAGACAGTTGTTGAAAGTCACCTCTCCCTTATCTTTCCATAAACTATGTTTTACAACTTGCATAAACTGTCTTTTACCAGTTGTTAAAAACATTGGATTTCTTTTCGGGGCTGCAATTTCTCATTTATGGCAAAAGAGTTTAAAAGGGTTAAGATTAGGAAACATCGTTCTACTATACGTGCACACGAATGTTCATTGCAGCACTGTTTACAATAGCAAAGACCTGGAACCAACCCAAATGCCCATCGACGATAGACTGGATAGGGAAAATGTGGCACATATACACCATGG